AGAGCTTTCAGGGGCTCAATCTGTGTGTAGTACAACCCAGATGAGGTTCCGAGCGCTTTTTCTACCACACGCATTTGATCTCCTTTTGACTCCGTAATATAGAGGTATTCGGTACCACTATCAGTTGTAGTAGTGATATGATAACCACTACGACGGATGTCTTTAAAGGTAAGAAGGTTACGTTGAGCTCCTGGATATAGGAAAGCTTCATCAATAATGATTCTAGTATTGTTAGGGAGTACCACGGTGGCTCGACCATAACCTATAATGCGGCCATTGCTTCCGGCAATTGTTAATGTATTTTCAGCTCTTTTCTGAAGTGTCTGAAAATATTTTGTCTCTCTAAGGATTGAATTTGTGGCAGCGCTATCAACCAAGCAAGGTTCTTTCGCTCCATCCTTCATCTTAACTCAAAGGAGAGCTGCTGATAATGTATTATAATATGTAATAGTTACGGATCCCCAATCCGTCACCTAAGCAATAAGAGACGTGAGAATTAGTAGAATATATCATCTCCCGTTCCCATTACAAGATCACAGAAAGTAGAATGACACTATAGACAAAGACTATTTGTGGAACCAAACTTCTCTTCATTTTCATCATCGAATAGTGAATACATAGGTTCCTTATATAGATAAAAGATGACCATTTAACTTCTTCAGTTATAACTCTTGAGCACTAGAGCTTCAAGAGTTAATTCGGTGTAAGCCCACTAACATAATTAGTTTCATCTTAATTCGGTGTAAGCCCACTACCATAATTAGGCCTGGTTTAGTTCCTAAAAATTTTCACCCAAAACTATCATATCGAATCTTACGGCACATGCATAGAATATTAAATATAGACGAAAAAAAACTAATTGCACAGTTTGGTTGAAAATCGCGAGACGAATGTTTCAAGACTAATTAGTCTATGATTAGCCATAAGTGCTACAGTAACTAACATGCGCTAATGCTGGATTAATTAGGCTTAATAAATTCGTCTCGCAGTTTCCAGACGAGCTATGTAATTAGTTTTTTTTATTAATATCCAAAAACCCCTTCCGACATCTCCAAAATATCCAATATGACATCAAAATTTTCATTTCGCGAACTAAACGCAGCACACATCCCCAACGAGACGCGCACGAAAATGAATCCGCCGGCCTGTGGGACGCGGGACAAGCACGTGGGCGGTTGCGCCTCCTTGGCCCAAACCTGTGCCTCGGTGCGCGAATTTCGGTGGGCCGGCTCGAGCTGCGTCACGTCCCCGCAGACCCCGCACCGCGGGCACGGCATTCGTGCGGTGCGGTGGATCAGAGGGTGCCGCCGGAAGGAGCGAGGCCTCGTGTGGTCGGCGCCGCGGTTAGCTAGTGCTACGTTAGGGTTGGCGCGCGCGGCTTGATCGTGGAAGAGCCCCGCGGGTCGCCGTATGCGGGGGCCGATCTCACCTCGTTCCCCCGCCGGAGTTGACTGGAACGACGCTCGCCCGACGGCCCGAGCTCATCCGAGTCGCCGTCGCGGTGACGCGTACGATCTCGCCCGCCGTGCGTGCCGTTGCTCTACTGGCTCCCAGCTGTATATAGCGCCACACGGCACGGCACCGCAGGCGACGGGACTGGTGATTGCTCGCGACCGAATTGGCGCGTTGTTAGGACGGGCCAACGGCCTCGCTCACCGGGACAAGCATCGGAGCCCGCCCGCCCGGCCCGCGTTGATCATTGCATTCGGATCGGCCATGTGTGATGATGTCGCGTTGCATTGCATCGCCGATAAGATCAACCGGTGTGCGAGGACAATCGGTTGCCCCGCCACTGGTCAATGTCCACAGGGCTAAGCTAGCTACGCACGATGTCGTTGGACCTGGACGGCGAGCACAGCTCTGTGGCTGTGGGAGGACGTACGTACGTACACCGTTTGATTATTGACAATGATAACAACATGTTGAGATGGTACATGATACATCCCTCTCCGGATTGAGATGAACGGCTTGCTCCATAATTTCATTTGTTGGCATCACAAACCTAGCTAGCTGCGAATTGAATCAGCCGAGAGCTGCGTGCTCGAAATTAACAAAGCTATTATGTTACCACGATCTAGTCTTCTTGCATACTACTACTTCAGACAGGGATGCATGCCAAGGCCTTGTTTAGTTTGTAAAAATTTTGACGAAATGATACGGTAGCACTTTCGTTGTTATTTGATGTGATAGAGAATTTTAAAATTTTTTGCAAAAATGAAGTGGAACTAAACGGGTCCAAGATCTTCCGGTGCACAAGTTCTCTTGTTAATTCGACGATAGGGCGTAGGTTCCACGTGATTCTGCGGTGGCAACAGTGCCGTAGTAGCCCAGCTGCTTCAGAGAGGGTAAAGAGAACGCATCATTGCCGTCCCCCTAGCTAACGTCGTAATCCAGCTCCAGAGGTAACGGTCCAGATCCTTTTTTTTCCGCCTCTCCAGAGGTAGACACACCCCACACACACACACCGCGCGAGAGGCAACAGAGTTGTTTGGGACGAACCCGGTGAGACACCAGAAAATCGCAGCCACCGGGGCTCGATCCCTGGCCGGCAAGGTCCCAACCACCGGGCCTTGCCACCCGAGCTACGCTCGGTTCTCACTTTGCATTGATCCCCTGTTTTGTGTTTGTTTCTCTCTCGCTATTGAGTCTTCAGTCTTCGCCCATGCATCAATCAATCATCGATCGTTTCTTGTTATTATTGCTTCCGTCATGGATCCTTGCTGTTTCATGACGACACATTGCATTGTAGCACGCTTTTTGGTGCGCTGTTGATGAGACATATCCTCCGTGACTCGTTATGGGTTCCATTACCTTCTTGTGCCCTACATATGCCATTGCCAATGCCATCTTGTATAGGTAGCACGCCGGAAACATAGGACTGAGGGGTAGTAGCAGAAAAAGAGACTTTTTTTTTTTCGTGCTATTATAAAATATCGTAATCCTTTCTATGTCTCTGAAAAAATTCAGCGGTCTTCAACGCCACTACTTCAACTTTTTCGGGTCCTCCATACCACTTCCGTTAGCTCAGGCTCTAACACCGTTAAACTACAAGTGTGAAAAGACAAAAATGCTCTTAAGTTCAAATATGTTATTAATTTTTTTAACATCTTAACGACTTCAAATGAAAAAACTCAAAACTAGAAAGTTGTAGATCTCGTCGAGATCTATAATTTTCATATAAAAATTATTTTTATTTAATTCTGCAAAAAAAATATGATAATTTTACTAAGATATATTATATTCCGCAAATAAAAATATGATGCCATTTGCCAGCTCTTTTTCATACGCCCAGCTGCTTGTTTGCATAGTAGGACTACTCCGCTACACACAAGATATATCTAGAGCTGCTGCTATCTGTCCTCTGAATCTAATAAAGCCCATCTAACTGTAGCAATTAAAGTTGGGGGTGTTTAGTTCACCCAAAATCCAAACTTTAGCACTATGCAAAAAGAAGATTCATCGTCACATCAAATTTGCGGTATATGCATAGAGTACTAAATATTGACGAAATCAAAAACTAATTGCACAGTTTGGTTGTATTTTGCAAGACGAACGTTTTGAGTCTAATTAGTCAATGATTAAACAATTATTACCAAATATAAACAAAACGCTACAAACGAAACGTTACAGTACCGCTAGAATAAATTTGGCGGTGCCGGTTCAGGCAACTAAACGAGGCATTGGCCTTGTGCTAGCTATAAAGATTTTTATATCCTCTCGTAGATCTCATGGCGCATGCTGATCCTGTTATCTATCCACACGATGCCTAGACGCCCGTACAGTTCAGACGGCCTGTAATGGAGACAGGCGTCCATGAAACCCGCTAAAGATGAAGACATCAGCATTTGTTGACACTCCTGTTTGCCTGTAAAGATGAGAAAGTTGAACATCACCACCGCATGCTTGCCGCGCCAATACAATAGCACTACTACCGAATTAGTATCCTCTAGCTTTCTTCTAGCTTCTTCTACTTTTTTTTTTGTGTGTTTTCACTAAAGAAACTAGTGGCCACACCGGTTTCCTATACTTAATTCGCCGCGAGGATTCGATGGATCTGAACGCATTGCAAGCATAGAGGCAGGCAGGCAGCAGCAGTGCATCTATGAGACCATGACACACTGCAGAGGTCAGAGGACATGTCGGGAGCACATTGGATAGATCGATGGATCCATCCATGGCTCGCTGAGTCCACTAGATTTTTCAAAAACAGAAAGATGGATATCATTTTTGCGAAGGAACAAAAACAAAACAGAACAAAAAATGATGATTATGCAGGCCTACAGGCCAGGGGCGCGGGGACTGGGGGAGCCTTCCTTCCTCCACCAGCTCTCGCTGTCGCCTCACACATGCTCGCTCTGAGGCGCTTGTCTCTCTTTATATACTCATCCAGCGGAGCAACGAGACAAAGAATAGCGCTGTTGATCCCCACAGGGACAGGGGCGGCCAGTGAGGCTCCATCACTGGTGAACTAGAGCCTCCTCACCTCACAGATCTGGCCACCTGGCAAATCTAATCATTGCACCATAAATTTCCCATCTACGACAAGTACACAGCCACTTTGTACAGGGTGGAGTGGAGAAGAAAGCCAAGAACAAGTGAAAGAAAGAAAAGAAGCAAACACTGGCCATGGATCTGCTAGTGAGTGGACAGTTTGCTAGAGAGAAGATCAGAGCACTTAGAGTATGCAGGGAAAATACACACATTTTTTTTGGCTCTTTTCAACGGCCGGGCCACCTAGCACACAAGCAAACTCACAACAATCTACAAAACCTAGCCCATGGATGGATGGATGATGACAAGCACGATTCAAGAGGTTGATCAATCAACAGCATCAGCCTGAAGGAGGGAGGACAAAAATAAGCTGCTTCATGCATGTGGAGTGTGTGGCTTTGTGCCCCCATGCCTGTCTCGTCTCTCCCCGTCGGTAGTGCGGTCACCTCATCATCATAGCTCCTGATGCTGTGTGAAGCAAACAAACGTTTGATGAGACCAGGTGTCGATCAGATTAAGCTCCACCGTATGGTGGAGCATGCAGGATGCTGCAGGCACGAGATGCCAACCTGATTGGACGCGGCCATGTCGTCGTCGTCGGTGACCATAATGTCGGCGACGTCGGCGGCGACGCCCTGCTTGTCGCTGCTAGCCTTCTTGGCCGCCGGGCCGTTGCCGCCGCCGGCGGCGACGCAGAGCGCCTTCCGCAGGCCGAGCATCTCCTTCCACCGGCTGGACGACGACCCCTTGCTGCTGGCGGAGGCGGAGGCCCTCTCGTCGTCGTCCCCGCCACGGAGCTCGTCGTGCAGCGTGGTGGGTGGCCGGGCGGCGGCGGCGGCGAAGCAGCTGGCTCCGCCGCCCCCGCCATTGTCCTTGAGGGTAAGGATCCTGCCCTTGGAGAAGAGCTGGTCGGCCGCCATCATGGGGTGGCTCCCCACCGAGAACTCAAAGTTGAGGTCCTCCTCCTGGCACCGCAGGCTCATCGCCCGGTTCTGCACCGGCGGTGGCGGCTCCACCGCGAAGTCGCTGGAGAAGGAGATGCGCGGGCCCAGCGCGGCCGGCACCTGCGGGCCGCCGCCGAACCCCGCCGCGCCGTCAGGGTTGTACATGTTGATGCACGCCATCGCGCGGTGGTGTGGTGTGGTGGTGGTGGTGCTGCTGCTGCTGGTCGGCGTGGCTTCCTGACCTCCTCGTGCGCTGTCGCCTCTTCTTGCACTTCCACCGTGAGCTGAACAGAGCTGAGGCGAGCTTCGCGTGCAGCAGCGCAGGATGTGGTGGTGGTGGTGGATTGGTGGGGGCTTTTAAAAGGTGGTGGGATGGGATGGTGGTAGTGTGCGACTGCGAGTAGCAAGCAGGAAGAGAAGGAAAAACGGTGTACCGATTGGTCGGTCGAGTCGTCACTGTTTGGGCACTTGCCGGTTGCCGGGCAGGAGAAGTTTGGATGGTTTATATAAGGGAAGAGAGGGCTAGCGAGAGCGAGATGCGTGGCGTGGATGGGCGGTGCAATTGTTTAGCACCACCTAGAGTGAATGACAGATGAACGAGGTGCAGAAGCCACAAGCCAAGGAATGCCTGTCGTGTTCGTTTCCCCTGTTAGTTTTACTGACATCGTTTCAGCAATGCCTCTGTTAAAAAAAAACAGGGCGCTAAGTTTTTTAAGTAAAAAATATTTTAATTTAGTCTAGTCTATAGAGAAGATAGTCCATATTTATTAAATCTAATATATAGTTTTTTCTAGAAAAACATATTTCATGATGAATCTGATGATCAACATCTTTTGTAAACTAAATCAAAACTTGTTTAAAAACTTTTTTTTATTTAAAGTAGGATATCGGGATGGTTGATTGAATGCCGCGCCAATTGGTGCTGCAAAACTTGTGTAATTAGTGACTATCCCATATAGCCGTTCGGGCCTGTTTTACAAATTATGGTTTTATTAGTCAAACACATGCAAATCTGTGGTTTAGAAAAAAAAAGTCTTGAGTGGAGTTTTTTTTTAACTTCAAAAGGACTATCATTCAATGATACCATGGTCTCAAAACAGAGTAGAAGGTTTGTTTCATACCAACACGTGGCAACAATAGAAAACCATAGCATTGTACAGACCATGTTATTTGTCCAATACTCTAAAAATGCTTTGCATCCAAAGATGACATTCATCTCTTATGTTCTCGAGGCACTATCAAGATGTTGAGTACATACTTGGACAGTGACACTTTATCTAAAGTATCTGCTATATTTTCTAATAACGAAAGTAAACTTTCAGCCCTTGCAAAATACTTCTCCACTTCGTAATGCTTGTCTAGTCCGCATACTTAATGATTCACTTATAATACTAGAGTAATATCTATACTCCCTTTATTCCAAATTATAAGATACTTTGACTTTTGATATATACTTATAAATACACTATGTCTAAATACATAGTAAAAGTAATATATCTATAAAAGTCAAAATATCTTATAATTTAGAACATAGCGAGTATGATAGTTTTTTTTACCAAATTTACGTCCACTGAGTACCAGGATTTAAAGCTTGGTGGGTAGCGTGCTGCTGAACTGCCTTACCATTGGACCATATGTCCATTTGTATTGGTCACTGCATATTGAATACACGCATTACTTCACGACGAGGACAGAGTGGTTGAGTTTTTTGCGAGACGATTCTTGTTTTACAGGGCTGCAAGCTTCCCCGGGCATGTGGGGCCTCGTTTAGATTCCAAGTTTTTTTACTCTCTCTATCACATCAAATTTTTGGACATATGTATGGAGTATTAAATATAGATAAAAAATAACTAATTATACAGTTTGATTGTAAATTACGAGACGAATCTTTTGAGCCTAGTTAGGCCATGATTGAACAATAATTGTTAAATACAAATAAAAGTGCTACAATATCAAATACTAATTCGCAACCATCATCTAAACAAGGCCTGGATGTGGTGGAGTAAAATGGAATGATTACGACCCTGCTCTGACTTTTCTCTGCTACACTACATGGCCTTTGGGAATTGGGATAAGAAGGTTGAGTGATTGGGCCTTGTTTAGATTGGGATTAGGAATCAGTATTTGGTATTGTAGCACTTTTGTTTGTATTTGACAATTATTGTTCAATTATGGTCTAACTAGGCTCAAAAGATTCGTCTCGTAATTTACAATCAAACTATGTAATTAGTTATTTTTTTATCTACATTTAATACTCTATGTATATGTCTAAAGATTTGATATAATAGAGAGAGAGTGAAAATACTTGGAATCTAAACAAGGCCTTGAATTGTTTTGAACATATATATGCGATCTCGAGGGGATGGATCGCACACACGTCTCCATACGCATCGGACGCATGGACGTTCATGGGGGAACGAATCGAGAGCGTCGGCGTCATTAGAAGAAACAAAAAATCAGTTGCTTTCGTAGGTGGCAAATGCTGGTTTGACTCTGGTCAAACTATATTTGTTCAGGCCTCCATGCATGTTCTTTGGCGATAATGCGATATCGCGAAGGTCCATGCATGTTCTTTGGTGGCTGGGTAGATTGAATTTTGGGTAGCCCTCGCTCGCAGTAGTTGCGCACGTGGATCTGGGCACCGTGAGGCCGTGAGCTGTAGTTCCTCCGTTTTTCTCGAACCTGTGTTTTTGTCCTGAATCTGCTGTACTACAGTCTATACAGAGCACTGGAGGACCGTGCATTTACCTTCCATCTAACGCCATTGTATTCTTTTGGCTTCGAGAAGCAAGCGGCATCATTGTATTCGTTTGCTACTCAACGTCTCTCAAATCCTCGCATTGGACCATTGAGTGATTAGGGAGTGGCCAGGGCCATTATATTGTACTATATAAACAAACAATGGCAAGTAAAAGCTGATTCGATTAATTATAAGGTGTGACCAGCAAATCATACAGAAACCTGGAGGACCCTCATCTCTCGTATGTCACCGTCTACAAGGCCCAACTCGCCAAACTTTTATGTCAACGTGAATAATCAGTATCCAGCACGATTCATAATGTTGAGGGCCAACGTCGAAATCGATATTATCGTCGTGTCCAGATTTTGTTTGCTACTAGTACTATAGGATTATTAATCATTATTGAACATGTAATGATTGTTGAGCAATATAATCATACTTAAGACAAATTTACATATAAGTTTTTTATTTTGTTCCCTCAAAAAAAGATTTTTATTTTTTAAATTTAACAGATATTGACAGAGAGTTTCAAAAGTTTGACCAAACCTTATTTAAAGCATAAGTATCTACAACAAGAGGCAGAGGGAGTATTATTTAACGAAAATTCTAGTAAAGGGTAATGGTACAAAAAAACGTAGTGCCTACTTAACATTTCACGTTTCTAATCCGATTATATTAAAAAGAAGAAGTCCAGACTAGGTAGTGTACAACGAAACGATAGTAACTACAAAGGGTCTAGCAATGGCAACATTTTCAAATCCTTGAGTAAACACATTTGAGTGCAATGAAGGGAATGGGAACAGTAGCCTGATCAAGTGATCAGAGACTCATGACCAATATATATTGTATATAAACGAATTATTGACAAAGTGAAAACTGATTATATGGTCTGACCAGACAATGCAAGGCCCATCTCGCCGAATTTTAGGGCAACATGATTATTCAGTAGCAGTACGGCTCATAATGTTTAGGGCCGATGTCGAAATCGCTATCATCGCCGTGTCTAGATTTCGTTTGCCACTACTACTAGTAGTACTATAAGATTATTAATCCTTTTAGAACATGCAATAATTGTGGACCATATCATGTGCTAATAATTTAGCGGTCTATATAAACCAAGAAGGTAGCCTTTCCTGCATTCCCATGGGTGGAGTACAAGCTTCAATCCATAATTGTAGGGAAGGGAGATTAATTAGCAAGGTTCCAAGGCGTTAGCCAGCACAGTCCCTTTCCTCATTAACACATGGTGATCCACCACCACCACCATGCGACACAGAATCAAGCCGGGTGACTGTACGAGATCATGGAGGACAAGGGGGATTTAAAGGCTTCGTGCATGAACCGAATACCAAGGAACAAGAAAGCCGAACAGGTCCAACCGCCGACGGTGCAGCCAGAGGTGTAGGCCGGTGGTAGCTTTCTAATTCTTGGCGTGGGCGTGGATTAGGGACCAGTTGATGAGCTCTCCTACTGCTGGGAACCTGAGACTGAGACGAAGAGCACACCAGATGAGATGAGCCCAGAAAGCGACCGCCATTAGAAGCGAACAAATATGCTGTTCAGGGAGAAAGCGACTCAGGTCTCAGGGTAACCTGCTATCAAAGCAAGCATGCAGAGTACAAGAACCAAGCAAAGAATCGAGAAAGTTTGACAGCCCTAAATAAATGTCAAAAAGGGAGTAAACTTTATTATATACTCCTATATATATGATTCAGAAATCTGCTAGAGATCACAACCTATGCTATGTTAAAAACACAACCAGAATTTTTGAAAAAAGAAGTGGTAGCTTGAAGACGCCCGGTAGTGGAATCAGGCAATGAGCTGAGACAGAGCAAACAGGGGGGAGGAGGTTGGTGACAAAATCATTTGACTGATGCCTTGACCGGTTTGTTATAAGCCTGGGTGAGCTGGCGACATCGACCTCTCGGAATAGGACCATGTGATAATCCCCAAGAATCCTCCCCATTTTGGTTGGTTCCACCTCTCTATGACCAGGCAATGATAGCACAGGTCACTGGTCTTGTGCCACAAGTGACAACGGACCAGTCAAAGAGTTCTTGTTCCCTTGTAATGCTGGTACAATTTGTAATAAAATCACAACAGCGGCCATGTTGGAAATAGGACCCAGTTTAAACACCAATGGGCTTTCAGGATTCTACCTCACATAGGAAGACGTAGTAACTTGTTGAAGATAATCCCTGCCTTCTCCGTTAAAAAAGCAAAAGAAAAAGAAAGAACACATGGCAATTGGCAACAGGATAACAGCTGGAGCCTTGTATTTTACCCCGATGGCAAATTGATCAGCAGCAAAACTAAGTGATCAACATTGCTGTTCTTAAATGTTTACTGGTATCTGCCACAAAACATATTTCTGAAAATAGACTACAGGGAGCATGATCCTTATGCTGAGCAAGAGAACTACGTGATGGAACTTAGGGAA